AGTGCAAAGTGTAGAGTGTGGAGTGTGGAGTGGGAGTGTGGTGTTTGTAGAGTGTAAAGTGTGGAGTGTAAAGTGTAGAGTGTGGAGTGTGCAGTGGGTAAAGTGTGGAGTGTGGCAGGTGTTGGTGATTTCGTTGTGCTGGTGATGTTGTTGTGCTGGGGATTTGTTGTGCTGGTGATTTCGTTGTGCTGGTGATTTCGTTGTGCTAGTGATCTCATTTGCGCTGGTGATTTTGTTGCGCTGGTCGACTTTGTGCAAGCATTGTAGTACACCGTAGTACTGGGAAGTAGTTTGTGCAAACTTTGTGTAAAGTAAGGACTGTGGAGTGTAAAGTGTGGAGTGGGGATTGTAGAGTGTGTAAAGTGTAGCGTGTGGAGTGTGAAGTGTAGAGTCTACAGTGTAGAATGTAAAGTGTGGAGTGTAAAGTGTAAAGTGTGGAGTGCCGAGTGTAAAGTGTAGAGTGTGGAGTGTGGAGTGGAAAGTGCCGAGTGTGGAGTGTAAAGTGTAGAGTGTGGAGTGTGGAGTGAGGAGTGTAAAGTGTGGAGTGTAGTGTGTGGAGTGTGGAGTGTGGAGTGTAGTGTGTGGAGTGTGGAGTGTAGAGTGTGTAGTGTAAAGTGGAGTGTAAAGTACCAGTAGTACCCCACAAGGCGGCTGAAGTTTCAAAAATAGGAAAGCTATAGGAGCGCTTGGTTGTTGTGAATCAGGGATGGCAGTGCGAAGCCACTGATGGACTGAAGGGTGCTTGATCTCTCTCTCTCTCTCTCTTTCTCTCTTTTTCTCTCCTTGTCTCTATCTTTCTCTGATTATCTACCTACCTACCTATTGATCTATCTGTCTATCTATCTATCTATCTATCTGTCTATCTATATTTCTATCTATCTATCGATCTATCTATCTATCTGTTCATCAATCTAGCTGTCTCTCTATCTATCTACCTGTCTGTCTATCTATCTATCTGTCTATCTATCTATCTGTCTATCTGTCTATGTATCTATCTATCTATCTGTCTGTCTGTCTATGTATGTAACTATCTACCTATCTATCTATCTATCTATTTATCTATCTACCTATCTATCTATCTATCTTAACTACAACGGCTCGCAGCAAATCTTTGCGGTCGGACACTACCCGCCACAAACCTCAGCTGCGGGAAATTGCATCACGCTGCCCGCTTCACTTCATGTGTCCCACGTTTCACTGCATGCGTCCCGGCCGACGCGGTCAGAAGCGACACGCGCAGTCAGCACTCGTGAGGTGCCCATCACTGCATGTGTCCCGTTCTTCCCGATGGCAACGACGCGGGCAGAAAAGCCACATGCGAGCTATCTATCTATCCATCCATCTATCTATCTATCTGTCTGTCTGTCTATCTGTCTATCTACATCTGTCTATCTCTCCGACCCCCTATCGATCAAACCTTCTCTCTATCTATCTGTCTATCTGTCTATCTATCTATCTATCTGTCTGTCTATGTATCTATCTTGGTATCTCACTATCTCTCTATGTGTCTATGTATCTATCTGTCTATCTATCTACCTATCTATCGATCTATTTATCTAGCTGTCTATCTATCTATTTGTCTAGCCGTCTATCTGTCCATCTATCTATCTACCTATCTATCTATCTATCTATCTGTCTATCTGTCTATCTGTCTATCTGTCTCTCTGTCTATCTGTCTATGTGTCTATCTGTCTACGTGTCTATCGGTCCAACTATCTCTCTATCTATCTGTCTATCTCTCCAACTCTCTATCGATAAAATTGTCTCTCTTTCTATCTGCTTATCTGTCTATCTGTCTATCTATCTGTCTCTGTATCGATCTATTTTTTCTTTCTATCTTAGTATCTAACTATCTGTCTATTAACCTATGTATCTGTCTGTCTATCTATGTATCTATCTATCTATCTATCTATCTATTTATCTAGCTCTCTCTCTCTCTCTCCATCTATCTATTTGTCTGTCTATCTGTCTATCTGTCCATCTATCTGTCTATCTGTCTATCTGTCCATCTATCTGTCTATCTGTCTATCTGTCCATCTATCTATATGTCTATCCATCTATCTATCTATCTATCTATCTGTCTATGTAACTATCTATCTATCTAGCTGTCTATCTATCTATCTATCTGTCTGTCTGTCTGTCTATGTATGTATCTATCTATCTATCTATCTTTCTATTTATCTATCTATCTTGGTATCTCACTATCTCTCTATGTCTATGTATCTATCTTTCTGTCTATCTATCTATCTATCTCTGTCTGTCTGTCTGTCTGTCTGTCTACCTGTCTATCTGCCAGATTGAAAACGAAGCTCTTCTGCGAGACTTTCTCATTTTTCGAACTTAACAACATCAAAAACAAAACAAGTCTGCAACACTTCTTTTTTTTCAACCTAACAACGTCCAAAACCGCAGCAATTCTGCGAGACTTCCTCAATGTTTGAATTTAACAACGTCAAAAACAAAGCAAGTCTGTGAGACTTCCTTCAAAAATGGAAAGTTGAGTGCAGCACTGGGAGCCTCGTACCAATGCGTTTCGCGATTTTTCCACTCCACCTGTGTAAAGTACTGCGCCTGCCAGGAAAAATTGATGCCAGGTCATACGACGCGCTGCACCTGTCACGCAAAATCATTTCAGCAAACCTGAAGATCTGATACTCCAAAATGCAACCCCTCTCAGGAAATCAGCGCCCTGATCTCCGAACATCTCTGATGAACATGTCTTTGGTACTGCACCTGCCACGCGAAATGCATCTTTGAAGATCCTCTTCAAATGCCCCACACCTGCCATCGATTTTGGAAATGCTGCAAAACCCTCACGTTTTGCTCACTTTTGACAAGGTGCACAATCCTTTGCGCCTGCCACGCAAAACGACATCTGAACCTCCAAAAGTGGAGCGAACATGTAGTGTTTTGTACATTTTCACTTCGAAATGTGCTTCGCGCCACAACAGGGTGCACTTTTTCGACATCGCAACTTCCAAAAGTGGTCCGAGAATGGTGTGCTTTGTACATTTTCACTTCGAAGTGTGCTTCGCGCCACAACGGGGTGCACTTTTTCGACATCGCAACTTCCAAAAGTGGTTCGAGAATGGTGTGCTTTGTACATTTTCACTTCGAAACGTGCTTCGCGCCACAATGGCGTGCACTTTTTCGACATCGCAACTTCCAAAAGTGGTCCGAGGCTGCGGTGTTTTGTACATTTTGACTTGCAAGTGTGCTTCGCGCCACAACGGCGTGCACTTTTTCGACATCTCAACTTCCAAAAGTGCTCCGAGACCCAGGTGTTTTGCACATTTTGACTTGCAAATGTGCTTCGCGCCACAACGGCGTGCAATTTTTCATCTCTCATCTGGCCAGCTGGCTCCGCACCCGCCGCTTTAGCGAGCCTACTTTTCGACCCCCCGGAGCCTCAAATCATTGGAAAAACACAGTGCTTTGCGCCTTTCCTACCTTTTCTCGCATCTGCATCTTCTTTCTTCTTACTCTTTCTCTTCTACTCTTCTTTCTTCTAATCTTTCTCTTCTCTTTGCCTCTTCCCTTCTCTGCTTTTCATCTGTCCATATTGTCGAAAGTTTGACTTCTAAACTTCCTTCGATAAAGTGCAGAGCGTAGAGTGTAGAGTGTGGAGTGCGCAGTGGGTAAAGAGTGGAGTGTGGAGTGTAAAGTGTGTGGTAAAAAGTGTGGAGTGAGGAGTGTAAAGTGGAAAGCGTGGAGTGTAAAGTGTAAAATGTGGAGTGTAGAGTTTAAAGTGTAGAGTGTAAAGTGCAAAGTGTAAAGTGTTGAGTGTTGAGTGTGGGGTGAGGAGTGTAAAGTGTAAAGTATGGAGCGTAAAGTGTAGCCTGTGGAGTGTGGAGTGGAAAGTGTCGAGTGTGGAGTGTAGAGTGTAAAGTTTAGAGTGTGGAGTGTAAAGTGTGGAGTGTGGAGTGTGGTGTGTGTAGAGTGTGGTGGAGTGTAGAGTGTTGTGGAGTGTGGAGTGTGGAGTGTAGAGTGTAGTGTGTGGAGTGTCAAGTGTAGAGTGTAAAGTGTAAAGTGTAAAGTGTGGAGTGTAAAGTGTAGAGTGTAAAGTGTGGAGTGTGGAGTGTAAAGTGTGGAGTGTAAAGTGCAAAGTGTAGAGTGTAGATTGTGGAGTGTGGAGTGTAAAGTGTCAAGTGCGTAGTGTAAAGTGCGGAGTGAAGAGTGCAAAGTGGAAAGCGTTGCGTGTAAAGTGTAAAGTGTGGAGTTTAGAGTGTAAAGTGTAGAGTGTGGAGTGTGAAGTGAGGAGCGTGGTGTGTGTAGAGTGTAAAGTGTCAAGTGTAGAGTGTAAAGTGTAGAGTGCGGAGTGTAAAGTGTGGAGTGTGCAGTGGGTAAAGTGTGGAGTGTGGCAGGTGTTGGTGATTTCGTTGTGCTGGTGATGTTGTTGTGCTGGTGATTTCGTTGTGCTGGTGATTTCGTTGTGCTAGTGATTTCGTTTGTGCTGGTGATTTTGTTGCGCTGGTGCTTTCGTTGTGCTGGTGCTTTCGTTGCACCGGTGATGTTGCTGTGCTGGTGATTTCGTTGTGCTGGTGATTTCGTTGTACTGGTGATTTCGTTGTGCTGGTGATTTCGTTGCGCTGGTGATGTTGTTGTGCTGGTGATTTTGTTGCGCTGGTGATTTTGTTGCGCTGGTGGTGTTGTTGTTGTGATTTCATTGCGCTGGTGATGTTGTTGCGCTGGTGGTGATGTTGTTGTGCTGGTTAGTTGTTTCTGTGTGAACTCTTGATCAGGTGCCTTCGCTGAGACGATATGCGCGCACGATGCATGAAAAAAAAGGTTCGGTTCGTTTTCCTATTGCAGAGGTTTTCACTCGTAGTCCAAGAACGTGAATACATTCGGGTTCGTGGCTTCCATCTTGTTCATGGTTTTTCTCTGAAGGAATGTGACCCGTTGGGACAAACTGGGGATGTGGTTTTGAAAATTTTAAGCAATTTGTTTACTATGTTTTACTTGTTTGTTTGCCCTTGCAGTAATTTGTTTGCGCTCAGGAAGTGACAGGTTCAGAAAGCCAGGCATGTGGGACAAATATCACTCACAAAAATTAATTCATCACCCAGGGCCGAGATTTCTAAGCGGTTGGCCGAACTAAAGATCTGTGTTCATCAAGATTCACGATGACTTCACGAAATTTCATGAAGATATCCAAAATTTGGGAGAGACCCGCAGATGTCAATGATTATGTTTTGGTCCAGGTCCAAAAATTTTCTATTAGTAGCCTTTATGCTTGTCTCCAGCCTGCAAAAATGGCACGCTCACTTCGGCTAGAGGGTTCTCAATGGTTCTCACGTTTCTGCGCCTGGCAGAGATTGGTACGTTGAGGGAGGTGTTTGACTGGATGTAAGTTCAGCTTAGATTTGCATGATTTGACAACACGCAGTTTTTCAATGTCTTTCGAAAGAACGCGAAGATTCGTGTTTCCAAGAAGCTGCCATTTGGATCGATTTGGTAGGACTGCCAAACTGTGGTGACATATTCATATTCCCTAATCATTGATTATGTCATGGTTTTACCTTCTGCGCTACTTGACCTGACCATACCTACGTAGCTTCAAAACAGGTTCAAAATTGAAAACGATGAAAAAGTGAAAATGTGACTCAGAATCCGTCAGATGTTTCCCATTTCATCCCATTTCCCACTTATATAACTGACAACAAAAGCTGGAAGCTGATCTCTCATCCCTGGCCCCTGGAGGATTCATCATGGAGCAGCGCTAGCGTGTTTGCAGGCACGGCGCGCAAAGGAATACCAAGACCAATCAAGATCATGTTATTGGTTGTATTTTGTTGTCATCCATTGGGCCCAAAGAAAGTACAAGGCTCTATTTGTGTCTGCACATCACATTTTTTAGATCATTGACGATCATTGGGCCCTGGAAAGGGTGGAATGCGAGGCTGCTCCAAGCATTACTTTGAGGATGGTAATTTAGTTTAGAAAGTCTTTTCGCGGGGAAAATACTTATTTTTGTGTGTCTGGAGTGTGGTTTTTGGCTTTTGGCTTTTGTTTTTGCCCTCGATTCCTTGATGATTTTTTCAATTTGTCCATGGGTTTCATTGGTTTGTCCATTGTTTTCACCGATTTTCCATGTTGTCATCGATTTCTCCATAGTGTTCACCGGTCTTCCATGTTTTTCATCAAATGTTCCATGGTGTTCATGGGATTTTCCACGTTTTTCACCTATGTTTCCATGAGCTTCATCAATTTCTGTATGAGAAATTGATGAAATTCAGGGAAAATCGATGAAAACATGGAAGCGCGGTAAAAACCATGGAGAAATTGATCAAAATCATGGAAAACAGATGAAAACCATGAAGAAAAGATGAAAACCTTCGAAATCGATTTCGAAATCGATGAAAACCGTCGAAAAAGAAACAATTTAAACCAATGAAAAATGAAGGACCGCAGCCTCTAGACCAAAAATCCAGAAACACTTAATAGTAGTAAAGGCAATAATTCCGCACCCTTACTTAACGAGATTGCCACGATTCGACACCAAGAAATACAGCACCAATGCTTGCAGGATTGCTTTGAAACCACTCATTGCGTACCAGGGCACCGAACAAAATATCTGAAGCGTTTTTCCAACTAAGTTGTTTTGTCCTTCAGCTTTCTCAGCAGTGATTTCTGAAATGTTGGACAGCTGAGATTTGTACTGAGAAACTCACTTTGCTACGCGCGTTGAGCCGAGAATCGCTCCAAGGAGAGAGTGGGTCGGAAGAGCCGATCAAGGATCCGTTGCGCTGGGATGGGTGCGGGACTGGAAGCTTAGGGCGTGTTAAGAATCCGACAGGCTAACAGTCCAACATCGTCCAACTCTACTTTTCCGGGACCTATACAAGATGATCCGTTGGCAGGGTGGATGGACTTGGAGTTTGGTGTAGAAGGGTAAACTTGCGGAAACGATGATATGACCGTTGTAACAAAATGCTGCACATAGCTTGTGGAGCCCAAGCGTTTGGGATCGCCCAGGCGCGTTATCATCTGTCATACGTCACATCGCCACCTCCAGCACTTGTAAGATATGTATGGCATCGTGCGATGTATGGTGCAATTGGAAGATGTGACATGTTAAGAGGCTAAAACTCACAAAAGGCCAGACTCAGTTTTCCCATCGAAAACTATCATATGAATCAAATGTAATATTTGAAATTTGCAAACATCTTGGCTGTAGCCATGATGCCCTGCACTGACAAGCTGCTGCTATTTCAACTTTGGTTTCATGTCAACCTCGTGGCCTTGCAGGAGGGTAGCACACTAGAGGGCATTCAAACGAATATGAGGGCTCTGCATCTACAAGGCGAGGTCCTCGCGTGCCTCGCATGGTGAATAGCGCCTCATGGCTAGCGCATGTTTCCAGAAAAATTCCAGATCGATGAAGAATGTTAATGAAGAATGTCAATGAAGATCAAATGGCGTATTCAGTCCTGTCGTGAACTCTGTGGGCTCTTCACTACCGGGCACAAGGCATGCTAGGCTGGGTAGCTAGGAGGCTGGGCCACAGAAACATCTGGCCGTGAAGGAAAGTGTACGCCATGCCGGTATTTTCGCTTCAGAGAGGCAAGGGGAAAAGCATGAAAAGCCTACGCGCACAAGTGCGAAACTCACAATGCTTCTGCCATTTGGACCCAAGGATGAGAAAAAAAAGCAAACATTTAGAGAGAGAGAGAGGGAGCATTTATGTATTTGCATTCTACATAGCTGCGCGCCCAACCAAAGTCCGATTGAGTCCTTTTTCTTTCCAGCACCCCCGAAATTCCAAATTTGAGCAAAGATTCTACCATTTTGATGTGTTGTCATGAGAATCTCGCTGCTCTAAACACTCTTCAAGGAATTCACCTCCTGCTGTTGAACAGATGCTGTGCTGTCAGTTTCACTTACACCCACAGAGATGAAATTTTGGTTTGAGCTCTTCCAGGATGGATGCCGACAAGGTGATTCCTGCCCGTTTTGTCACGAATGTACAGCACAGGACACAGCTTGCCCAATGAAGTCTGAGCGCACTCCGTTCTTTGTTCCTAATAATGAAAAAATCAGCCTGTCCACCTCCACCAACCTGCAACCGGAAAAACGGGACAGACTTGTGCAGCGGATCGCCCATTCTTGTAGCTTAAGACTCTTTCCTATGAGCTTCCACTTTCGGGGTAGAGTTGTATAATTCCATGTATGATGTTTTATGCTTTGTTATATTTGTTGCATGTGTTCCCGATCGTCCCCATCGAATTGACTGTAGCCGCAGGAGTCCCTAGCTGGCCAAAGATGGCTGAAGCATCAACGGCAGCGTGAGAAAAGACGCCAGCATCGGCGTCAAGATTGGCAATAGCACAGTGGTCTGACAGACCAGTGGGTGCGGTTCACCCCTATTGCAAGGCACACTCTTCCAACCTGGACGGCAGATTGAAAATGCCATCCGCTTGTCAGATAGCATCCAGTAGCCGGAGTTTTCTTGGGATTGCAATGTGAAATTGCTCATTGCAAAGCATTGCAAAGTTACTTGCCAATGTTGATATGTTCTTTAATGCTTGTGGAGGAACTCCGAGTCCACGGGAAACTCTTGATTTTTCAAGTTTGCAGAAACAGCCTGCGAAGCTCAGCGGCTGACAGTGGCTGAGATCCGGTCACCGGACATCAGAGGGCCTTCACAGTTGCAAGTGGTTCCGCGTCACTCTTTACCAGGGTGATGCTGAATGCCGCGACATTTGTTCCTTGCTTTAAAGATTCATGTCGCTAGTGGGTCCCCGGTCCCAGCCACGCCTAATTTCAATGCTGGCGGCGTCTTAATTAGACGCCACCCCTAGCGCCTAGAGGCAACGCGTATCCATGTTTCACACGGCACCTGACTCAGCAATCGAGCCTCTAAGACCACATAGACAAGGTCCAGAATTATTGTTTCCTCAGCCGAAAAGTGAGAGTTGCTCATTACAAAATGCGGGGCGTTCCAGACTCAAGAAGGTTGCAGGTTCTGCACGCAAGGCTTTAGGATGTTTCAGGGGGGCTCGGGGGTCGCATTTGCCCCTACTTCATGTGGGGTCGCACTTGCTCTGGCTTAAGGTGGAGGCAGGGGCGCAGCTGACCCTAGGGTAGGGGCGAATGTGACTCGACCTCGTTTTGCCTGGCGCAATAGTTTTAGAGGTGGGAAAGGATCGTTTTCCACCTGTAACAGGCAACTTACGGACAAATCGCAACTATCATGGAAAGGTAGTTCCAATTCAAGTTGTTCGGGATGCTACGTTGTCAGATCCATTTCCGGTAACTTCCACAATGCTCTGGATGTTACAAACTTTGTAAAATCCATTTCAAGTAAGTTCCAAGACGTTCTGCCTGCCACCTTGCAACAACCATTTCATCTGGATGCTACGTTGTAACAACCATTTCCAGTAACCTCCAAGACGTTCTGGATGCTATGTTGCCATTTAAAGAAGCTTCCAAGACGTTCTGCATGCTACGTTGCCCTAACCAATGTCCCCCCTCAGTTCCCCCTAACTGTCTCTGTCCCCAGATTAAACCCTAAAGGTTGAATGACTTATTAAGTAGAAGCGTAAGTTAATCGGGTCCCCCCCCACCATGTCCCCAAGTTCCCCCTAAATGCCCCTTGTTCCCAGATTAAACCTTGGGCAGAAAGGATATTGAGGTAGGGTCGAATATGACCCAAGTTGGGGTAGGGGTGAATGTGACCCCCGTCCCTTTCAAGGGGCAGCAGGATCCCAAATCTTTCAGGAAGTCCTAGAGATGATTCCGGAAGTTCCGTTTTCCCTTCTCCGCGTTGCTTGCTTTTGGAGAAGCCGTGGCTTCATTTTGAGGTAGTTTTTCTGGTCCAGATTGTCGTTATCTAGATTTATTGATCCAGTGTCAACATTTCTGGGGAAACTCACGAGATTGAACCCTTACTCATGAAATCGATTGAACCCTTCATGAACCTAAAGCATTTGCACGCAAGGAATCCTGAACCCAATGTAAGATTTAGAACGCAGTTCATTGGTGTTGAAGATTCTTGACAGGGATCCTTAGTTTCCAATGGATTTCGATAGGCTTGACTTTGCGAACGGCTTTTGCAGGGTCCTGTCTAGAAAATCTTGAGGCTCTTGACGGCTCTTGCGATTTCCCATCTCATCATCTCTCGCTCTTTGGTTTCTAGTTTTCCACAATGATTCAGCGATGATTCAGCTATTTTTTGCCCCGACCTTGTCAAGTTGTCTGGAGTGTCAAATGTGTAGACTGGATGTCTGGGACTACCCAAAGCTTGTTCGATGTCTAAAATGTTTGATTGTATGCGCCTAGGGGGCAAAGGAATGCAACAATGCCAGGTGGATCAATATAATAAGATTTGAAATTTCCAGCCATGGATGCAGAAAAGCGGCTTAATCTGAAGTGGCATCGATTAGGTGGATGGGAACGTGGCAAAAAAGGATAGGTGCATGTCACATTATTTCAGATCATGTCGTTTCACATCCAGTGATGTTGATCTTTGTGATGCTGCGATAAGCAGAGTCAGGCAGAAAGTCTGCGTACGGGCCTTTGGAATTCCAAAGTCCGAAGATCTTTGTAGTCCAAGGCTGGGCAACATGCTACAAGTGTGGCAGAGGGCAGCCGGTAGCTCCAAAACCAGCAAAGCAGATGCTTCAGTCATCTTCAGTCATGGTCATGGTACTTCATGGATCTTCATGGTGAAAACTGCAGGTGGCTCTAGAGGATGCAAGCCGGACGGGGTACTTTTCCATGCTTTGTGCAAATTCTCGATTTGAGCTGCTGAGCTGGTTTGGCACTTGCGCCACCTTTTAGCTGGCACAAGTACACAACAAATAGTCTAATTACAGTCCATCACTAATCATGCTTTCTGCCCTGTATTGCCACGATGCTGAAACAGAGGGACAAATACGCCGATTGGGTCCGATGTTTTTTATAGAATCTGTTTGCGCAGATTTCACGCCTTCTATTTTAAGCCGATCACGACTCGCAATTTCAAATTCAAGCAAGGGCCTCCATGGTGCCAATCAAACACTGTGATATTAGATATTCTATGAGCACAAGCTATGAATGCTCACACTATATTGCAGCGCACCCATATCAAACCCCATCAAAGATTTGACAGCGGAAAAATAAAAATAATGATAAAATAGTCTATGAATTTGAAATATATCCAATTAATTAAATGGGAATCGATCTAAAGGTCTTTGTAAGCAGTTTTAATTGCGAAAGCCGTGCATGTTATGTTGGAAACCCTCGCGAAAGTTTTTTTTTGGGTTCGCGAAAGTAACTGCTTTTTTTACGAAAATTTCGTGCTATTATAATCATTATGTAAAGGGCTGCCACCCACTGCCGCCCGGGGTCCGGCAGGAGAAGGGCACTAGAGAAATTTTTGGTTCTGGTTCAATTTTCTGTATGGTGGTGTTTGTAGACAATTACACCCTGTATAGATAACAGCCAGCTTCCAAAGACGAGGCCTCGCGATAGCCAAACCCTATGGTCTTGAAATATATCCTTGTACCTGCCGCTGTTACTGCCTAATGATGCTTTTTGTACCCTTAAAAAGCAAGCTCTAAATATAGTAACTAAGTTTTTTAAAGTGATTATTTGCGAGAGCCAAATGCCAAGGCCCCTGGTGTTCGTTTTTTCTTTTAATATACTCTTTGCTGATGGCCAAGGTCTATGAATAGGAATATTTTTTTTCTTTGGAATTATATTTATATATTTAATTTATAAAATTACTACCACTACGCTTAAGTCGTATTAATCGACCTGAAGTCGTATTACACCTGCGTGCGCGCAGTGTTTCGTATAGATTTTGATAGTTCTTTATTTGATGGGTTATTGATTCGAACACTTTTTTATCGTTGTGCGCAATGTTTTGTTGATATGATTTTATTTGACCCTACTAGCCCTAGCGTTAAGTCGTATCAGGTCGTAGAAGCTGTATCGGGAGGCCATGCGCCTGGAAAAAGTTCAAGTTTGGCATCACCACAACTTTTAGTAATTGGACGATTTTATTGTTTTGGGGTCGTGAGCCTAGAAAAAATTTAATTTTTGTATTGCGTTGATTTATAAAATTTATATTATATTTTATTATTCTTTTAACGGGACAAACGTTGGTTGCTGCTTTTTGCTTGCTTTTTGCTTGCTTTCTGCTTGCTTGCTGCTTGCTTGCTGCTCCTTGTTGCTGCCTCCTGCTGCTGCTGCTGTTGTTGCTGCTGTTGCTGCTGCTGTTGCTGCTGTTGTTGTTGCTGCCTCCTGCTGTTGTTGTTGCTGCCTCCTGCTGCTGTTGCTGCTGCCTCCTGCTGCTGCTGCGGCTGCGGCTTCCTTCTGCTGCTGCTGCTGCCTCCTACTGCTGTTAATGCTGCCTCCTACTGCTGTTGCTGCTGCCTCCTGCTGCTGCTGCGGCTACGGCTTCCTTCTGCTGCTGCGGCTGCTTCCTGCTGCTGCTGCTGCCTCCTGCTGCTGCCTGCTGCTGCTGCCTGCTGTTGCTGCCTGCTGCTGCTTCCGCCTGCTGCTGCTGTTTCCTCCTGCTCCTGCTGCTGCTGCTGCTGCCTCCTGCTGCTGCTGCTGCTGCCTGCTGCTGCCTGCTGCTGCCTGCTGCTGCTGCTGCTGCCTCCTGCTGGTGCCTCCTGCTGCTGCTGCTGCCTCCTGGTGCTGCTGCTTCCTCCTCCTCCTGCTGCTGCTTCCTCCTCCTCCTGCTGCTGCTGCTTCCTCCTGCTGCTGCTGCCGCTGGTGCAAACATTTTGCCGAAAAAGAAAATTACAGTCTCGGTCGCCTTATTTGGCGCTGGCGGGAGATACGGGCGGGAGACGCCAGCAAAGAGAGGGAATGTTTACAGAAGGCAGAACTTATGAAATACAAGCGGATGCTGATAGTGGTGTTTCACTGGGTTTTTAAATTTTAACATTATTGATATGATGATGTTGCCCATAGCTATTACATGGAAATCTATGTTTCTTAGGAAACAAAATTAAAGATCTGGGAGGCCGTGTGCCATGGTAATTCCTAAATATATCCTTTGAAAACATAGTTTAAACATATGTGAATACCTTAGTGTGCGCAATGTTTTCTTCATTTTTGGAGATATAATAACATTCCTTGAAAGCCGGTGTGTTATTGGGATGTTGATATTTTGATGTGATTTTTGCCCAATTGATGTGATTTTCTTCTAATTCGCTGTTACATGGGGTTGATGTGACTTCTACCCAATTGATGTGACTTAAACCCCTTCGCTAGTAGTATATATATAAAATTATAAGCATTATTTTTATAATATTAAATAATATATATTTGGAAATTATATTAATTATAATTAAATTTTATTTTATTTTTTGAATTATTTTGAAGTATTTTTTAATTAATTATATATATATTTTGAAATAATTAAGTAAATTTTAAAAAATATTTATTTAAAATTATTCTATTTTATGGGATTCGTATTATAATATTTATTTATTTTATTATTGATATTTATTTAATATTTTAT